GCCAAACGCTGAATTTTATTGAGTTTGGCCTTAGTTGACTCAGTTCTAATGCAAGGCCACCAGACCAGGGAGCCGTACAAGAGAGATGGACGTACTATCGTCGTGTAGAGCCAGTATACCACTTTGGGTTTAAGCCCCCACCTTACACCGACAACACGTCTACAAGCCCACATCGAATTGCGAGCCTTGCTAACCTTGTGTTCCACATGCTCTCTCCAGTTCAGTTTGCAGTCCAGGATAATTCCCAGATATTTCACTGACTGGGACAAAACTAATCTAGTCCCAAAGAAGGTAGGCATGACCAGTCCGTCAAGCCTTCTTCTCCTAGTGAATAGGATCAGCTCGGTCTTTTCAGCATTAACAGAAAGATCGACTTCCCTACACCACGATTCCACGGAGCGCAGAGCGCCCTGCATAATTTCCGAGACTGTTCTACAGAAACGCCCCCTAACCACTATGCTTACGTCATCAGCATAGGCTTGCACGTAGACACCCATACTGTTGAGCCTAACGAGCAGTTCGTTCACCACGATACACCACAGTAGGGGTGACAGAACTCCACCCTGAGGGCAGCCTCTAGCTACGTTCACGCTGCAGCTTACGTTATTCAGCATAGCTGTTGTTACCCGACCCTCCAGAGTAGAGAGGACCCAATCTATTAGGATTGATCCAACCCCGTGTCTAACCAAGGCCTGTCTGATAGAGTCGGTTGTGGTGCAATTAAATGCACCTTCAATATCTAAGAAGGCCACGAGTGCCACTTCTCGCTGATCTAGAGTCTTCTCCAGCCTCCCAACCAGATTGTGTAAGGCCAGATCAGTCGATTTTCCAGCTTGGTATGCAAACTGATTTGCATGAATGACACACCTTTCCAGTGGGCCATCCCTTAGGTATCTATCAACTATCCTTTCCAGGGTCTTAAGCACAAAAGATGAAAGAGTAATCGGTCGAAAATCCTTCGGGCCAGTATATCTATCTCTGCCCGGTTTAGGAATGAATACCACTTTAGCCTGCCGCCAACTTCTAGGTGTGAAGCCCGTGGCCACACATGCTCGAAACACATTCAACAGGTAAGGAACAACCGAAATCCGTCCCTGCTGTAACATGGCCGGAAATACGCCGTCCAGACCTGGACTTTTGTATGGGGCAAACGAATCTACTGCCCATACCGTCCTTTCGAAGGTGACAATCTCCCTTGCCGTGCGCCAGTCCTCCCTTGAGGGCCTGCGCAACTGCATGCACTCTGTGATTGATCGCGCTACTGTGGAACCGGGAAAGTGCGTATCCATCAGAAGCCTCAGAGTATCTTCCTCGGAAGTAGTGTTCCCTCCCGAGGGATCATGCAGAGATCCCAATCTTGCTTTAGTGTCTTTGCATAGGACTCTGTGTATTCTTGCAGTAGCAGGAATGTCATTTATGGACTGACAGAAGTGCCTCCAGGATTCTCTGGAGGCCCTTCTAATCTCCTTTTTGTACTCCTGCAATGCCTTTTTGTATTCTTCCCATAGAGGAGAACCTCTCCTGTGCTTAACTCTGCTAAGAAGTTTGTGCACCGCTCGTTTTCTATCCTCTAAATCTTTGGTCCAGAAGGTTGCCTTGCCCTTACCTTGTACTTTGCGTAACGGGCAGTTTTCCTCATATGCGGCCGTCAAGTCCCTGCTCAGAGACTCGACAGCTGCTTCTATGTCAGAGCCCCTGCCAAGCCTGTATGGGACCGCTCCAAGCTTACTGTCAATGTCTGCCCTAAAGGACCCCCATCTAGTATGCCTGGGATTCCGAGCATATTTATCCGGAATCTCTCCATCAGTCTTGAACAGTATATACCTGTGATCCGATAGAGAGGGTGTTAGAGACACTTTCCAGTCCCTGATGTCCTGAGCTAAGTTAAGCGTGCTCAGTGTTACGTCGATAACCTCTTCTCTTACACTATTGCTGAAAGTGGGCATGTTACCGACATTCAGAACCTCAAGGTTCGATGCCCCAAGAAACTCCATCAGGTCTTCGCCTCGTCTGTTGGTGTTCGAGCTGCCCCACGCAACGTGATGGGCATTACTGTCGCATCCAATCACAAGGTCGAGTCCAGAATCCCTACAGAATGCGACAAGGTCCCCCATTTCCTTAGACGGAGGAGGGTCTCTTGAATCGTAAGGAAGGTAAGCCGAACAGACAACCAAGTCCCTGTCACTGCCTTCCTTCTTATATCTAATTCTGACTGCAACTAAGTCTCTAAATGTAAATTCTTTAAGTTGCCATGAGTTGACGGAAGTCATTACGCAAGCTCTGGGCTTAGTATCCGGAGTATCGCTAAAAAGCGTATAGCCTGGTATACTAAGCCCGTTTACTGAACCGTTTCTCAGCCAGGGTTCCTGGATGAGAGCCACGTCATGTCGGCCTCGAGTGATCTCCTGAGTAAGGGCCCTCGAAGCCGCTATGCAGTGTTGTAAGTTAATTTGGATGAAATTAAAACTTACCATGGATGTTGAGAGGCCCTTCCTACACCTTCCCGAATGACGGTATGTAACCCCTATTCGGGCGTACCGCCGTCGCCGCCGCAGTCATCGCTGCCACAGCCGCCTTCATCTCCGCTTCCACGGAGGAGTTCTCGGACTCGGTTCAGGATTACATCCTCGTCCGAGTCGCTATCGTTTTCCTCTGGGACCAGATCCATCGCAGGGTCCGCCACGATGTTTTCTGCGGATATCCCGCTTGGACCCGCCGCCTCCACGTCCGTAGCCTCCGGTGGCTCCAGCGAGAGCTGACCCGGCCGACCCATCCCCTGTGAAGGAGCCTGGTCTACCGCCACAGCTCCCGTCGGTCTGGGCTGGTCCGACTCCTGGTTTGGAGCCAGGCCAGTTCCAGCAGGTGTCGCTCCACTGCTCTTCTTCTTGCTCAGGAGTGTAAACACCCCCGAACTTCCACCGCAACACAGCCTGTTGCCGTTACCTACAATGACCTTCCAGCTTATGGAATCAACTGAGAGGACAAGTCGGACACCTATCGGCTCTTCCTTCCTCTCAAGTATCCTCCACGCGCTGGGAAAAGTCCCAGGATTGTGCCTCCTGAGTCTCCTCGTGATGACCCCGTTGTCCAGGTTGGGACCCGGAAACCAGGCCATCACGCGGTGGTATATGGGAAGGTCTCCAAAGCTCATCGTAATGAGCCTTGCGCCTTCCCACGGCCGCAGATCCCCCACGTGGGCCTCCAACCATGCCCTAGAGGATTCGTCCTCGCAGACAAAGATGGCTGCCCCTCGAGAGAGGTAGCAGTCAATGTACCTGGGAAGGGTCACCTCATCTGGGATCCCATCTATCAGCACACTGACCGCCTCCTGGACCTGCTGCACCTGTACATTAGTAAGTTGAGTCCCAGGATAACCGTCGGACACGACGGCCACCCTGAGACCCGCTTGGGACGCTCGCGCATAACTAATTTGCGCATGCGTCGCAGTGCGAGGCTTCTTCCGCGAGGATGCACCCTCCGGTGTCCCACCGGCAGACCTCTGCCGCTTCCCGTCACCGGGCCGCTTTAGGGTCTCCGCTGACACACCGGATTGCGCACCGTCTAGCCCAGATGGCGGTTGGGTCCGTCCAGCCGGGGTCCCAGAAGTGGTGCCCCGACCTTCCGAGCCCTCCGTCATCTGCGCCTCTCTCCGCTTCCGAGCCCTTTTCCTTTCGGAACCTGGCCGAGACTTTTTCTTAATCTTTAGAGAGCCCACCCTTTCCGCTAGCTCTCTCGCTAAGCTTCTGACAGATTCCTCTGTCAGAGTACGATCAGGGTCCCCTGGTGAGGGGTCGCCTGGATGTTCGGGGTCCCCTGTAGGGGGGGCCTCGGGTTTTTTATTATTTTTTCCATCGTTTGGTTCCATAATGTTCCCACGAGTATAGGGGAAGTGGTGATCGACGTCCGCGGTGCCCCTACACGGACGCAAGGCTGGATACTCTGGGAGGTCGCCCGGTGTCCCAGAGGCTCCGTTTAAGACGGTGCATCCCCACCGCCACGCACCCCTCGGCACGGAATCGCTTAACACCTTGGGTTGGGTAACGTACCATTGCCCATGATGACCGTTGAGCTGCAGGCGTCCCAGATATACATCCGAGACACCTGTGGCTCAACGAATCATTCGATTGGCCGGGCTACCGGCTTTCCGGCGGGTCTCCTCAAAAACTAATCGAGGCGGTCCACCGCAAGACCGGCACCCCGTTGCCCCCCCTACACGGTCGCACACGGTTCAGCGCCCAAGGCCGCCCCGCAGAACGAACTCGAGGACGTACGGGTTGGATTTTGTAGGGGAAGCTTCTATTTATATCTTCATAAAATTGACTACAATTTTAAAAATATGTTTTCCGATTGGAAATATTTTAGCGATAATGAAGTTTTCAAATAAAAATGTGTTACGGTTTAGCAATTTTGCTTTAATTCTTCTGTACTTCGTCTAGCAATTAAACTATATTTCACGAATCCAATATGTCTTGACGTTTACTGAGGTAAACAGCTGATCATCAAGTCACATTCTTTGTATTAAAGTGGTGGCATTCATGAATCAGGTGTGAATCGGATAAAACTCAGGACCGTATTTGGAATTGTTTATACCAAATACCGATTCTTTTTCATAGATCTAGTCTAGGCATTATCTTCGCCTTTCGCGATTGCCAAACAAAAAGTGCGAAAACAGAAATAATAAATCTTTCATTTCGTTGACCTTGTTACACTAAAAACGTAGGTGGAATTGTTAAATCTGTCTGAAGTGACCCAGCGGTGTTCTATATACGAGTAAAATGCGATAACCCATTTTTGCAACAAAACACATCCGCTAGCTGGCCGAGAGTGTGGAGGCATCGCACCATAACAATTTAATATATTTTCAGAGTTCAGAGATAACCAGTTTTAATTGTGCTGTAGCTTGCTCTCTCAGCTTGTGATTCGCGGCTGTGAGCTTGCTAGAAAATTGCTAAAAACACGAGTTTGACGCTTTGAAGCTGCTGATTGCAACGCTAAGTTTAGGTTAAGGTTTTTGTACTTTGGATACTTTTTCCTTGTGATGGATAAGTTATTGGTGGTGTTTGTTGTTTTATCTAGCTTAGAATATTATGGATGTAAGTATTCCTTTTTTATATGGTTAGTAAAAGATAAGGATCGGATGGTATTACGGCCTCAGAAACAGAAAACTTCAATGCAAGTTAAAGGCAGTACCGGACAATCTTGTTGAAATTTTGTAATACCAAGGATGTGAAGTAAAAAATATCGTATGTCGAGAACTTTTATAATGTATAAGGTCATTCAGAATAAATACCAACGTGTCATTCAGGTGACAAGTAGTAAGAAGAAAATATAATGTTGTCAGTCCAGGTGGTTTTGTTCAGGTTGTTTATTCTGAACAGCAAATGTTTTCAGCAAACTAATTATTTTCGAATTACGATAGGCTAAAGTTCAAAGATTCCTCTACAAGATGCCCAGTTGGAATTAGTCATTATTTAATACCAAAATAACTCTTTTCAATTGTTAATTATGAAAATTAAAATTGTGCATATTTGTGGTTACTTTATAAGTATTTCGAAAAGGGTTAACCAAAGATAACTCACTTTGTTGATTGATGGTATAGTGGCATGGTGTATAGAATGTAAGTGTTATTTTTTTTAATATCAATACTTTTTGCGTAGGTGACGAGTTGGTTCATTCGTGTATTTAGGGTGCCCTCACAAAGGTGATTATGAAAAAAGTATTACGGGAATATTTTTCTCAAAGTAGCTCTGATTTTCGACTTGTTTGATCAGAGTGTGATGACTACTTGTCGCAATGTTTTGAAATAGTATGAACCAATTTTCGAAAGGGGGTATAGTAGAGAAATATTTGAACTATAAGCTTTGATTAAGGCACATGGCGACCTGAATATTCATTATTTTTTCTAATTCTAAACGATCACTTTCAAAATAAAATCTGACCAAAGGTTACTTTTTACTCACAATCTTTGTGAGATAAAAAGAACAAAAGGTTTATTTTATTTATTGATTTAAAAACGTTCTGTCCCTTCCCAAGGAAGTGATTATGAGAAAAACAAAATTTTTAAACGGAGCTAACGTAGCGTTGTTCAAAAGGGTACCAACTAATAAAATACTATGAAATTGGTTAAGGGTGTCGTACTTTCAACATTTTTTACGGCTCTGTAATGTATAATGTTTGCGAACTTGTTTATGTCGTAGACTTAAACATTATTTTAGCGCTGCATAAATGATTGGAAATATTCAGTGATCAGGCTAAATTTGTGATAATGTTACAACTCCAGAGCATTTCTAAGTTCGAATTCGAAGTCTATCTGAAGGAAACTCCATCAGTTAATTGATGTTATTTATGTTATGAGCCAGTATAATCAATAGCGATTGTACATGCTGTGGTTATACGAGTATGCTCATTATAATCTCTTATATTTTTTTGTCGTAAAGCCTAGCTCCTCAGGCACTATATTTTTCAGATGCTTCAATATGTAAACCATACTCTTATTTCACCATGGACTGTAATACATGTAGCTGTGATAGAAGTGGGAAAGAATATTCATGTACAAGATTTATTTGCCCAGTTAAGGTAGGATTTGCGTGTTGAGCAAAATTGTGTAATGAATGCTTTATTATTTTTTGCAAGATTATAATGAATGATTTTCAAACTTAATTTGTGAAACCTAATGATATAGTGTCTATTTTTACAACGTCTTATTTCAAGGTTTTATTTTGTTTCGTTCCATATGCAAGTATTGCGTGAGCAACAGCGTTAAAATACCATTCATTTATAAGGATTCTTAAAAAAAAAATTCGAACAGAACGAATAATAGTTGTGACTACCGAAATGCACCAGGGCCATTGCTTATTGAGTTACTTCCAGCAAGTACTGTGACTACTTGTGAGTTTTTATCAAGGGGACGCGGATATTGTTGGTTAGGTCGAGGAGTACCTCAATTAGGGCTACACTACTCCAACGAAAAATGTGAAATACCTACATATATGTCAGAAATTTGATAATTGCTGGATTTACCTTAATAAAAATTATCATGTACAAAAAAGGGTTCGTCACTCTATGAGAAGAAGTTTGAAGCTTTACATTCTTAAAATTTTGAATGGTTTTTATAAAATCAGAATCTTGAATCGCGATTTTTCACACGAATTAAACTATACAAGGTTGCTGCATCCCCAAGCAGTGATAACCTCCAGGTCTCTCGCAGAGAGGAAGTCGCCGCTCACCGGCAGACATCGGCTGTCACTCTGAATTTTGCATGTAGAGTGCTGTCATCAGCAAAGCTGTTGATCGAATTGACCGTACCAGAAAGGAGGTCTCTAGATATGTGAGAGGAACACTGTCGGAGCCAAGACCGATCCCTCGGACTCATCCGCATTTACTTTGTGGGATGAGCAGGAGAACCCTCAATTACGACGAAACAAATATCTCTTCAAGGAAAGACGGAAAAAAGTATCTTTAAAACACTCTGTATATTTCGGAAAACTTACATGTACCTACAAATAGTCATAGTTGAACATCGACCATGTTCTTCCGTTTTTTCTCGGATTTGATCAAGCGAATCAGAAACATTATTGATACAACATGTTGTATATCGCGTTATATTTTTTAATAAATGTCAGCTTATTGTGGTGTATTTAGAACTTGTTTTAGACTTACGAGGAGAGATTCATCATCGATAAAACTGAGGATGGTCACACCTTGTTAAAACCAAGACCCAGGAAAGAGCAAGGAATAGACATAAACGATGGCGAATATATGTTCGTCGGTTCTACTATTCACAGTAGGAAAATAAGAGTTTCTCCAAAGTTTCGATACACAGATGACGAAGTTCCTTCATCAGGGTCAGATACCTATAGTGATGAAATTGCAAATCACATGGATAATCATATTGAAGAACGTAATGGAAAAGGGTAAGGATTCTCACACAGCTTATATCTTCTTGTATGGTGAGGATCAATCTTTTTACCGATCTATCTCTTCTCACTCATAAGTGAGGGAGGTATTGTGATCGCAAACATTTCCAAATTTCAGATAGTGGCTTTCAAAATCAATGTCAGTTATTATTTTTGGCGGTTGATATGCCTGACTGTCAGCATGTTTGTGAAATTCTACCAACATAATTTCAGAAACGGCTGCATCGAGTGGGACATGCTCTGGGGTAGTAGGTAATGCTATTTCACTTTTAAGAATCGGTTTAGTTCGTCGAAGTCAAGAGCAAAAAAATTGCATATCGTTTCCAAGGCTTTTGTAATATTCACCACTTCTTATAATTTGTCGGTATATCGAAGTAACTGCATGACTGATTTTTTATTTACACAGCATTAATTACATTTATGTATTTCCATTCGTGCCTATTTAAAATACACACATAAACATGCCGCTATAATTGCGTGAGAGTTAATTTATTTGATAATTATTTATACTTTATGGGCGAAGTGAACACTAGAGTTCAGCTGTACTGTCTTATATGTTATTGAAAATAGATATGAAGAAAATATCCAGACTAATTTTGTATCTATTCTCCCTTTAAAAGATAAACAGTATTTTTTTCTAGGTTGTAGCCATTTAGAACAAAGGTACCAATAAGGGAAACGTTTTAGATTTAACTCCCAGGTAAAGCGGATACACACATAATGTAAAGTAAATATACAGTGGTCTACCCTACATATTTTTTGAACGGGTTTACTATATTTCAATGTTAAATTGGTAGTCGACAGTCTCCAGATGGCGGCTGGGCGCCATTTTGGAACATATTTTAAATAGAATGGCGATTCCTGCGATACTATGGCGATTCACCTTTAAGCTTTACAAAACTGGTAGAATGCCAAAGTTTTTGTATCTTAAGTCCCTTGTAACTCAACAAGCATTCATCAAAACGTGTATCAATCTTCTTATACAGGAAAAATATATCCGAATATGCAACCAAAACATTTAAAAAATGTCAAAACTTCAATTTTTCAAACTGTATACCTCATATTTCATTGCACATTCGAATTACAAGAGGCGAATAACATACTATAACATTCTGATGATTAGTTGTTGAGTTATAAGCGAGCATTTTGAAAGAGAGTGGTTGTATATTCTAAGGTTATAAAATACCTGAAAGGATCCCAAAAATAAGTGATCATCCCACTCTTTGTGTTATTTAAAAAATGTTACAAGGTGGCGGCCAGCCATTATCATGAAATTTACATTTTTAATATAGCATTCTTACGTTCATTTCATCATTCTAAATTTCAGCTTACTAGCTTGACCTGTTCAAAAGATAAGTAGAGGGACCTTTTTGAAAAGCACTGGTTAGGAGCTTAATTGTTGCTTGTTCCAAAAGCGATATTTGTTTTCTTTTCATATAACCCCTAGAAGTTTGATCCCATAGTTCTGAAACACCCTATATATGTATAGTAGTAAAATAATGGACAGAATCCGCAAAAAGGAGGAAAGTGGATTCGAGCAGAAAATAGGATAGGTAACCCGAGCGATACGTATTTCTGCTGTTTGGCTGCGTCAGGCCCGAAATGAATGCACATATGAAACTGCAAAAGTAGATACACATGCCCACACATCAGGATACGGGTGTAACCTGAGGAAACGAAGATGGATCATTTTCTCTTTGTAGATCCTTTGGGCTTGAAGAACCACAGCAAGTGGCTATAACCGGCCGCGTGGTTGTGGTTAGATGTCTTCTTGAAAATTCGAGGACTTCTAGCCATTTTATACTACAGTGTGTAGGTTGGCTCTTGTTGTGGACTTCGTGTGTCGTTTTTTTCCCTCTCCATCCTCCTTTCCTCAGGTTACACCCATATCCGGATGTGTGGGCATCTGTATCTACTTTTGTAGTTTCATATGTGCATTCATTTCGGGCCTGTTGAAGCCAACCAGCAGAAATACGTATCGCTCGGGTTACCTATCCTATTTTCTGCTCGAATCCACTTTCCTCCTTTTTTGCGGATTTTGCCCATTATTTTCCTACTTTTTGTTATATATCTTTCTCATAGATATATATATATATACATATATATAATATATAACGTGAGCAGTAGTCATTGCCAAAGCCAACGACCAGTTGGGCACAAAATACAATTAATTGTTAATTGGGAAATTTTTAGGCTTAAGTTGACTCTTTTGACGATAAAATCAAGCTTTCGCCATTCTCTATGGAGCCTTCATCAGGATTCTGAAAACACAATTGTGATGCTAGCAAAGAATACAGGACAGATTTAAATTGTCGAACAACTTACTCGTCGTTGAGGTTGCAACCACAAGGTGTTTCAAAACGAACATAGAGAAGATAGAACTTGTTATAAATATAAAACACAAAAGGACGGAGATATTGGGCTTGTTGATAAAGACAGATACCTTCGTTACATGTTAAAAATATCAATCCACCCGAACATATTAAAAATTATTAAACATGAGAAGACATTTTAGGGAAACAATCGGAATGCAGTCTCTAACCTCCTACTTCCGCTACACGTAGAGAGGGGGACGGCAGGGAAAGATAATACGCCGACAGATGACAAGTGATTGACGCGACGGAACGTGGAACTGTAAACTTCATTGTCCAATTTGGGTATGAAGTATACGAGTGACGCTCGGTAAACCTCCACTCAAATTACTAAAATGCTGAATTAATTTGTTTTGGAAAAATGTGTAGTTCATATGAGTGTACGAATGTGAGATAGTGATACACACTTGAAGAGATGGGTTATGTGAGTTTATATTAAAGATTGTTAGTGAGAAATTTCAATTACCAAGATAGCAGTTGGAAATGTATTCTAATTTTGAGGCGATGTTGGTTCGATTTGGATATGTAGCCGTTCTAGCTTTTCGCAATTGAACAGAGACCTCGACCTCGAAGTTTGGCCTATATGAACTAAATTATAGTTGTTTCAATTAATGTGATAGACAGTGTTGGTGGAATCAAGCAACTGAACCTTATCCTTCATTTTGGACAACAAACTGTTGACTGTGAGTACTGATTTACAAGCAAAACGACAATTAAAAGAAATAATACAGCCTGATCAATTTTGTTGTTAGTTCTTTGATGTATGGCAAGACAACATAATTAACTCTGGAAATAGGAACAACCACTGTGTTATTCTCATTGGTTGAAGAATTCATGGGTGTCTGGTTGGACCGAATAGTGTTGTCATTTTCACTATTGTTATTCGTCATTGGCAAAATATTCGGAGGAGAGCTGAACAAGATTCTGTTAACCAAATACTTCGGATAGCCATTGTTGATGAATAAGACTGAAAGCTTCCTTAAATTGGAAAGATGGAAAGTACTGTCAGAGATTTTTATAACCCTGTTCTTCATTTGTTTCACCAGGTTTATCTTTATTTTAAGTTCGTGGTAAGACCTGAAGTACAGGAAACGAATTTAATTGTCGTTTTGCTTGTAAATCAGTACTCATAGTCTACAGTTTGTTGTCCAAAATGAAGGATAAGGTTCAGTTGCTTGAATCAACCAACACTGTCTATCAGATTAATTGCAACAACTGTAATTTAGTTCATATAGGCCAAACTTCGAGGTCACTGAAAGGCAGGATAACTTCACACAAAAGTGACGCCAGATTACATCCAGAGAGATGTGCTTTGGCATCTCATATTAACAACACAGGTCACTCTATGAATTATGGCAGTATTGAGGTTCTTGATAAAGAAAAAAGACTCTCAAAACGTTTATTTTTAGAAATATCCCACATGTTGATGACAGAGCATTGCATGAATAAAAAGGCGGATGTTAAACAGCTTAGTGTCATTTATTCCTACCTGTTGAATTGCGAAAAGCTAGAACGGCTACATATCCCAATCGAACTAACATCGTCTCAAAATTAGAATACATTTCCAATTGCTATCCTGGTAATTGAAATTTCTCACTCACAACCTTTAATATAAACTCAAATTCGTACACTCATATGAACTACACATTTTTCCAAAACAAATTAATTCAGCATTTTAGTAATTTGGGTGGAGGTTTACCGAGCGTCACTCGTATACTTCATACCCAAATTGGACAATGAAGTTTACAGTTCCACATTCCGTCGCGTCAATCACTTGTCATCTGTCGACGCATTATCTTTCCGTGCCGTCCCCCTCTCTACGTGTAGCGGAAGCAGGAGGTTAGAGAGTGCATTCCGATTGTTTCCCTAAAATGTCTTCTCATGTTTAATAATTTTTAATATGTTCGGGTGTATTGATATTTTTAACATGTAACGAAGGTATCTGTCGTTATCAACAAGCCCAATGTCTCAGTCCTTTTGTTTTTATATTTATAACAAGTTCTATCTTCTCTACGTTCGTTTTGAAACACCTTGTGGCTGCAACCTCTGGTTTCGAAAAAGAAGCTAGGCGGTATATACGTGGTTACGACGTCCGACACAGATTTTACATTAATTCGGGGATATTGACTTCCGTCGAAATAAAACACTATAATCTTCTTATTTCCAGATATATAAGATCACATGATGAAGAAATGTTTACTGACGACGAAAATTCTCAAGACTCATCATCAATGGACGCATGGAACAAAAAATTACCTCACAGGTCTTATAAAAAAAGAGATTTAAAAACATGAGGTACTAATGTCTGTGGTTTTTATACTTTTCTGCTTAATATTTTGTAAATATTTTCATGAAAGTTGCTTTGATATTCTCTGTTTCCTATGACAACTGCTGTTTTTGATGTTATATATTTGTACAGTTATCAGGACATAGTATGTATGTTCTTTCAAAAAGAATTAAAGATCAACAAAAATCGACTATGAGACGCAAAAAGATTCTGTAGAAAAGCCTAGTGCGAGTACAGTCAACGACTTTTAAAAACTGCATCATGTTTATTTACTGCCTCGTCACCATCCATACGTTAAGGTACGTTTCCAATCTAATGTCAGTTGCACACTCTCTGGCGAGTGCTTTCGTCATGTTACACCGACGGCACTCATGCAAGAGTTCGAATGACGAGTGCAATCTTTGTTTTCAACTCAACTTGTTATGCCACCTGTACACTCTCGAAAATCGAACTGATTTATGAACTCAATCACTTGGAACTTATAGCAGATGAGGCGTGGCAAGTCAATAGAAGTGGAAACGGAGGTAGCATGTCGTGGTTGTTCCGAGGAAGACTCCTATGTGTTTAGAAGCAGTAGAAACAAAATGACATAAAAAGTCCTTTAGATTTAAGAAATTGGTTTCGCTTCCAATTGCATCGGTTGTTAGTAAATCTCTACAGCATTACTAGAGTTTCATATTATTAAACTCTTGTACATCAGATCACGGACATCAAAACAACGACGATGTACATTCTGGCACTCGCGGTGCCTCGAGGAGAGTGTACAGCTGTCATAACAAGTTCAGCTGAAGACACATATTGGTCTTGGGGTCTTCGCACACGCATCGTAAGCGTATCGTTACGACGCAACGCTTACGAGACCTGCAGTATTCCACACACGCATCGTCACGTACTCGTATCGTTTTTCTTCAGACGAAGAGGATTTCTTATTGTTTGATTATGTTAAAAGTAGAAAGCGACGTGCTCATTGGATCCATCCATACATCGCAAGTAATAAGAAGAAAAGATTGTTTGTTGCTGCACATGGACTTTCAGAAGATGGTAATAAATTCCGAAGCTTTTATCGAATGAGTAAGGAGACCTTTCAGCCATATCGAGAGCAATTAAACAAAACTTTTGAATTTTACGCTTGCTTCTACACCTGCCTTACGCCAGACCGCTACGACTATCGTAATACGACTGAACATCTCGTAGGCTTCGCTGCAGCACCGCTTCTTGTGCGGACTTGTTAGCACACATACGAGCTCCTTTTGCTCTGGTCCTACATGAGTATTACGATACGATTACGATACGTCGTAGTCTGCGGAGGCTCTTATGGTTATAGGATAAGTTAAATAAGGCAAAGGAACGAAAGTGAATATTGATTCGCGATGTTAGAAGAAAAACAATAAAAAACATTCTCTCCATCAAATAACAACAATGTCAGAATGCCTGATATTGGAAATAGTGGGACATCTTGTATATGAATTCTACTCGGATTTTCTGAATAGTTGTCGTGATCTGAGCAGATTCTTGGCTAAACGCGAATACCTAGTTGAGCATAGTATGGAAATTTATGCTACTATATCACTGATACTATACGAGCCCCTTCCCACTTCAGTTGGCCCAACTATTGAAATCTTAGTTTTTTTCTTATCAACCACAAATAATAAAAATGTAGCAGGGTGTTATAGGTTTAAAATATTAACAATGAATATTTTGATAATATATAGCAGAAAACACCAACTTTATCACTCCCTAATCAAATTTGCAGCATAAATAAGTCTATAACGCATAGGTGGCTGTGAAAAATAAAAGCCATGACAATTGTTTTTATTAATCACAGCTGTCAGAATACGTTTAAAATAGTTTTGGGTAGTAAAGGTCCATATCGTCAGTCGTCCCTACAATTGTAGGGCGCGTTTATGGCCTCCTTGATTGTCATACTTCTTTCTTTCCTTCAAAAATTTCTAGATTACATTTGTCCTGTGTCAGCGTCAGCGCTCTCCAATTGTGAAGATATGTTTTCTTTTTAAATTGTAGGAAATTTCAGGCTGATTTAAAACATGATATAACTCAAAAGCAAGCACATTTTGATGCAAATAGATGTTTGTGACATAACCTCAAAATGAGGTTCTGACACGGAGAAGTAGAAAACTATGACAATCAAGGAGGCCATAAAGCTGCCCTACAATTGTAGGGACGACTGACGATACGGGCCTACGGTTTTCAAAATGGGTAGAGGAAAGGTTATTAGTGAGAAAATTCAGTTACTGATAATTACATTTTTTAATTCTGGGAAATTAAACTCAGAAATTGCAACTTTGTTAGACTTATCGCGGTACAGTGTGAGAAATATTGTTAGAAGATACAACGTAACTGGTTCAGTTAATATTAAGCCACGATATGTGAAAAAAAGTAATATCACAAATGCCGACCGAAGAGCATTAAGAAGAATAATCGTGAAAAACAGGCGTGCCAATTATTTACAATTAAGTGCTCTATGGAGTGACGCTGTTGGAAGGAGAATTTCGAGGTCCACAACTCATAGAGAGGCCCACAAACTGGGATTTAGAACTTGCAAGGTAAGTTTTCTTATAAAAAAAGTGAAGTAAAAACCCTAAAGTTGCACAACTTGTTTATAGGACAAAGAAAAGCCACTATTAACTCCACTGCAAAACAAAAATCGACTTAGGTGGGCTAAAGAACATAGACAAGGGACACCTCAACAATGGTGTGCAATACAATGGAGTGATGAGGCCCGATTCGAAGTTTGTGCTGGTGACAGTCGCAGTAGAGTTATTCGCAAAACAATGAAGCATTCCATGTTGACTGTCTGAATAGAAAAGTGAAATTTCCAGCATCCATTATGGTCTGGGGCAGTATGTCATCAAAAGGAGTAGGAAAACTTCATTTTATTGATGGAAATGTAGATACTAACAAATATTTGGCAATTTTAGAAGAATCGCGTTTACCAGTGATGGAAGAATGTTTGACATCCGGCCAAGATTTTGTGTTTCAGCAAGATGGTGCAGCGTGCCATACTTCAAAAAAGGCTATAAAACGGATGGAAGAAAATAATGTACCACTTTTGAAATGGGTTTCTACCAGTCCAGCTCTGTCACCTATTGAAACTTTGTGGGACGAGATGAAAAAGGTTCTACGACAACAGATGTTCTATTAGTTATAGGTCTAAGGCCCGTATCGTCAGTCGTCCCTACAATTGTAGGGCGCGTTTATGGCTTCCTTGATTGTCATACTGCTTTCTCTCCTTCAAAAATTTCTAGATTACACTTGTCCCGTGTCAGCGTCAGCGCTCTCCTATTGTGAAGATATGTTTTCTTTTTAAATTGTAGGAAAATTCAGGCTGATAAAATATGATATAACTCAAAAGCAAGAACAATTTGATGCAAATAGGTGTTTGTGACATAACCTCAAAATAGAGTTCTGACACGGAGAAGTAGAAAACAATGACAATCAAGGAGGCCATAAAGACGCCCTACAATTGTAGGGACGACTGACGATACGGGCCTAAGTGATTTCAAATATGTATTTTTATGACTAGAATGTATCTAAAATGTTTTTGAGTAAATAAATTGTTTTAGAAGTAAATTGTTTCGTCATGTGTAGTTTATAAAGGCATATTTTGGTACAAATCTTGAAGTGGGCCAACTGAAGTGGGAAGTGGCTCGTAGTTCGTAGTTATCCCTCTTGGAAGTGTTTTAATTAATTTGATATTCATAATTTTTTTCCTCCGTAGGTTCTTGTGGCACTAAAATGACATCGTAAAAGTACTACGCATAACGTGAAAATATCCTTCTTGAGAACTTTCAGTTTAATTAGACTCAAGTTTAGGTTGACCTTTTTCAATATCCATCAAAAAAGCTGGTTTATCTCCAATATTACACATCTTTCTATGTTGTTAAATATATAATTCTGTTAAGAAACCTTAGATTGAGTCTGAGTGCTCAATGAAACAAGTGAATTGAAATAAATCAAAATTACCTCACAACTGTCGATGTAAAAGCCCAATGTTCAGGTACATACCCTTTCGCAACGCCGATGACTATGATATATAGCACTTACCGATAAGAAGATTTGCTCTTATTCAGCTTTTTGCTATCAACAGAAACCATTTTTGCCAACTATGTGGAACATTAGGATTGTATGGAATCCACGCACTTTTGTAATACATATATTCGCAGACAAGTATGAATTCAATGTGAAATTTCAATAACTGTCAAGTTGGCGGCTCAAGCCTGACTGACTTTTAGTATGAACTTGCATCCTGAACACTGACTACGGAATTTTGATAACAAACAAATCGTAGGCTTGCTCGTTCTGCCAAGTCCAAATTTTGTTGGGTATCACGGAATATAGAGATGTATTAGGTTGCTACGAGAAAATCTGCAATTTTAAGTTATCTTTATAAATTTGAGGGGAAGTCCGGTAGAGTTTAGCAGGGTACAACATTGCACATTCAAAATATGAGCTACAAGCGTACCTGTTGGCTTTCTTTAGGCTCACTTGACAGTGGTTCTATCCACGTCGGTTTAGTTGTTAGTATAGTTGAAGACACGAATAACTACGTGATAAGTAAAAAAATGATTTCTTATTTATAACTTCGTATGTTTTACAACAGTTCTTACTTATTCAAGGCTATTCATTGAAAGTATAGTTATTATTGTTTAGCAATGATACAAAAAATCTGTATGATCTTATGTAGCTCTCTGAAAACTGTCAACACATTCAAATTTGTGCGAAATTTTGACATCCTAATTACTAGGTAGGTCCGCATAATTGTCCATAGCTCATGTTAAGCGCCAGGGATTAGCACTTATAAAATATTGCTAATACATGCCTTGACAACAATATTTCTAAGTTATATTTTTTGAAAGTCTGATCCTTTATTTAAAAATACATGCATGTTTCATTTTGTTGTTTTGTTTCAATACAACTCCCATCAAGTTAAACTGCAACCGATCATAAAAAAGATAGACAAAAGCCTAATAGTTGAGTTAGTGATCTAAAAAATATGCTTGGGAGTTTTTTGGGTCGCTGATTACAAATCACCAATTAGGTACTGATGTGTTTGTTTTTAATAATTCAGCAAAAAAAAATATTTAAATAAGTAAAGGAAGTACGTCCAAAGTGACATATCGTTTTATTAACCATCAATAACTTTAATATTATTCATAATAGGAACATATTTTTTTTCTTACTACTTTGCTTATATTAATCGGTTAACAGGAATCATATAGATTTTGTCAGAAAAATCAACACTTACAAAAATATTTAGTATTAAATGAAGATCAAGAAAAATGCGTTTTGTCCATACCATATTTTGGTACGCTTTGGCAAATCAGCAAAGACTGCGTGAACCCAACGACTGCACCGCCTGCACCCAACCACCCCTCACCAGGCTTTGAACGTGAGTAGAGATCGTTGCAGTAAATACAGGCACAATCATCTTCTTCGTCTTCTTGATCAGAGCGCTCTTCATCTGAGTCATCATCAATGTAAAGAGACTTAGTAACTGCTTGTTTCCTTTTACGAGTTGGTTTTTCAGCTGCAATCTCTCGTTTGTACTTTAATTCTGCCATATTTGGTGATGACGTAAGTAGGAATGTTGTCGTTCGATTGTTTGACTTTCGTTTACCCTGTCGACTTACAAATTTACCACTGGGAACTGGAGAAATGACATTAACTGGAATAGCTAAAGAACTTGTCGATGCAAAGGAACTTGTGGATGGTTGGGAAATGTCTAACGGGCCAGTCACTGTGTTATGAATATCATTAGTGACTGCTATTGCGTCTGAAGAATCCGATGGTTTACAAGAACTAGTGGATGGCTTCGATGAAGATTCAGGGGCCTTATTCTGTTCCTGGGTCATAATCTCGCCAGCCTCCGGTTCTATTGGCAACGATGGAAGGTTCTGATCCTGGAAGCTATTGGCATATTTGTTGTTTCAACTGGTTCAAAAAAGTGATCTGGAAATATGTCTGGATTAACTGGCCATAGTCCAGTGTTTTTGAAACCATTGCATGCATTTTGAACTGAAGCAGTCTTTCCATAAGCTTGATTAAATAAATATCCGATCTGAAGAGCTGCCACCACTCTTCCTGGATGATTTCTAAGCCAGACAGAAATCTGTTGGTTAAAATATGTCTTGAGCGGTCCATAAAAGCACACATTGAGAAGCTGCATAGGATGGGTGCAGTGTGGAGTAAGACAAACAATTTCGATTCCATTCTCCTTGGCAAAGTTCAAAGCTTCGAATGACTTATAGCTGGCATGGCCACCGACAATAAGAAGAACTTTATCATTATGACTAGCTTTTACAAAGCTTTGAAAATGCTGGAGCCACTTCACGAAAATTTCAGTGGTTATCCACCCGCTTTATTGAGCTACTCCTACCGACCAGTTGGTGCTTCATCCACGAGCCCGTTTTTCATATTTTTCCTTGCGAAAATCATGAAAGGAGGTACATACGACCCAACTGCGTTCATACAACACACAACTGTCACATTGGATCCCCGCTCGGCGCATGTAATGGCTCCGACTTGCTTCCTGCCAGCGGTAGCCAGGATCTTTTGAGGTCTTTGGACAGTAGACAGCCCCGATTCGTCCACATTGTAGATCTGGTTCGCGTTCAATTTGTGTTTGTGTATGTATTCTTGATAGTTATCGAAAAACTTTCTTACTTGAGGTCTATTAAAATCTTGGACTCTGGCTGCGGAGGTAGGCTCCGGTTTTCGTAAAGATATGTCTTTATGGCGTTTTAAAAATCCATCTAGCCACTCCTGGCTAGCTTTACCCTTATCTTTATTAAACCTATGTGAAAAGCCATTCTTTTCAGCCAATTCGAAAGCGAGTTCTTGGACCATTGTACGCGTTAATCCAAACATGCGAGTTTCAAGTAGCTTGATGTGCTCAACCAATTGTCTCTCAATTTCAAGAGGAAATGTTAGCTGAAATCGGCCTAAACCTTTTGCTGCAGGTGCAACTGTTTTATTTTGTTCCAAAGCATGCCGCCTTAGTGTAGCTTGTGGCACTTTGAAGGTCTTAAGAAGCCAGAAGCCAACCCATTTTTTCTCTTTAACTGCTTCAATAGCTATTTTCATCGCTTCTTGACTCCGTGCTTGACGATTACTTGTCCTCTTATAATTTCGGAGCATATTGCCATTCTGTAAATTAAAAAGATTTACGTAGATTTACTTAAAAAATTTTCTTACTGCCATCTCTACGGACAAAATGACACATTATGTCGTTTGGTCCATAGTGGTTGTATGTCATTTTGTACATAGCCTCAAAAAATATTACGATTCAAAGAATAATCTTGTTGCAGTGACAATAATGTTTTAAATTCTACCCTATCACCTCAAACACAAAATGCTTCGAAATATAAAATTATAGGACAGTAAAATAACAAAAGAAAACTTACCGAAAAACAAAAAACAAATGACCACTAACAAATTTCTTTCCAACCTCGAAACACAAATGTCAACATGGCGTCCGTTCTGTATTTTAAACGGCTCTCAAAAGTCCAATGGTATATTTCCGGTGTAGGTGCTTCTTGATTGGCTAACTTTTGACAGTTTATACCGCGAAGTTTTTTTAATTATCACTAATGTGTCGTTTTATCCGTATATGTCATTTTGGACGTACTTCCCCTAGTTCTTGTGTTTTACGGTTGAAATAACTGCCTGTATCTTTACAAATCCATACAATTCTTTTATTATTCATAAAGCAATACCGACAAAAGTTGATTTTTACTGTATCCGTCTCTAAGCCGTCTGTCATGATACGAAATTTTCATTTTGTGCTGATATTTGTGTTGTTTAGATGAGACGATAATTGGTTGAAAAACAAGTCCAAGCTTAACCACTTTTATCAGTTGTTTTCATCAGTTTCACGGAACTCCCCTGCTTATGCTGTAGTTTCGTTTTCGATATCATCTTCTTTTACGGTTTAATTTACTTCGTTTTTTCAGGTGGCGAATTATGGGATCGCCCCATTTTCTACAAGTTTATATTAACTTAAAGTAATAAAGATAGATAGAAACTATAGAGTAGCCAGCTGCAACGTAAAGTGTGGTTAGAATGTCTTTGATGTGATAAATGGCAGTTCGCAGTTGACAGCTATAGTTTTTTTTCCTTTACGTGACAGATAGGATTGTAACTCGTAAACAAATTGGCACCTAAATTCAGTAATGCATTTTCTAACAAGATTTGGTACCGAATTATGAAGACAATCTTGCATCGTGACAGACCTCCTTCAGATAGTTGTATTTTTCAATAAGTGATGTTGATTATAAAGATTTGTGATTATCATTCACTTACTACAACTCAGTGTATAATCTCCCTATACCTGACGTAATGTCTCCCTTCCACGCAGCAGTCATTAGCCAAAGGTCATGTCCAATAAAATTGTCAACTGCATAGAAAATGTGTAAGATATAGGCATATGTATATTATGTCTATAAGTGAATCAGAGTTCCCTAACTGCGCGTTAAAATCCTGTTTTAATCATGGCAATAAATTCATTCTACAAGAATCTATGCGGTAAGTGGTAAAGAGTCCCGGGCTTCTCTTACATTTTATTAAGCATGTACTGTTTATTGAGGATGATGGTTATTAATTAATTGCAGTCTTTCATGGGCTTACGAGTATCGAAATACGAGTCAGATGAGTAACTCGATATATTGATTCGTGAAACAGACAACCTAAGCGAATGCCTAGGACTCGCATGTTTTCTGTGAAAACAGAATAATGTCGCTAACGGTCCCATTAATTTTATGCCCTCAATTAACGAGAAGACTCATCCTGGAATGAAGTGAGAGGCGGACCTCTCGAGGAAATGCGTAATCTCGAGTCGAGTTACTGGGGATGATTAAAGTCTTGAGTGGACCATCATTGGATGATATCCGGTTTATGACACTGCGTTAAGATGAGTTTGAACTAGATTGTAAACGATGCCTAAGTATGTCATCACGATTTACCTTTCCACGCTATTGTATTAAAAAAGGCGTTAAGTAGAAGTCAATAGCTCCAGCGATGCGGACAGTACCTGGTGTATGAAGGCTATTTTAACAAAACTCCAATAAAATTCTTTTTCGACATTCAAAATTATTACAGTAATTTTCAATAATGCTCAGGCGCGTTTTTCGAACAGTTGTGTTTCTTACTCTTTGCTCTCCCTCTTTTTTTCATTCCTCTTTCGTCTTCTGTTTCTTTATATTTATTCATGTCTGATCTCTGGGTGACCAGGCCGACAGAATAACAGACTGATTGACGTACTTTAACACAAAGCCAAAGGTCATGCGAACCGCCGTGGCAGACAATAGAAGAAAAAAGAAATGTTAGATGTTCAAGATGTCAGTATCTGAAAAGAAATTTACAAACTCACTGAAAGATTGCACTGCAAAGTGTAATGCAACTATCTATAATACTCAAGAAAGCTTTTCGGTTACCAGTTCACTCCCTTCGACATCAGCTGCAGCATCTAATGTTGTTGTGCTGGGCGAAAATGAAGAGGTCGACAGTGATGACGATGCACCTTTTTCCGCTCTCTCCATGGCTGGAAAAAGTATCACACTTTATGAGTAACTACAAAAGTCACTGACATAACTGAAACAGACCCCACTCCACGCTCGAAAAATTCTTCGACATATTCATTAGAAATGCTGATCAAAAAAGAAATGGATTCATATGAAGCTGGAGAGGTCAAAGGCGTACTTCTGCAAATTGCGCATAACTGCCTCTTAACTGTGGTTCCTACGAATCTAGAAGCAGAACGTGCATTTTTATCCGCTCGGGCAATGCTGTGTTTCCTGAGAAGCCACGTTCATAAATAACTTTCTATATAAAAACAAGCGTGACAAAAGTTTGATCTGACTGGCAGATTGAAATCTATTACTATTTGATTAAAATATTATAACTTTCAAGTATATTACATTTTTTCAATGTTTTTATGAGAATCCGTGAGATTCTTAATTCTTAAACCTTTGTTTTGTATTTTGAGATAAAAGGGATGTTATAAACCACTTTAGCCTCTATTTTTAATCAGATGTTGATAATCAATGGGTTTGTACCATATTTATACATGCGTTTGTTTTTAGTGAAAAACGTACCCACTCTCGCGAGATCTCGTAATTCTCGAAATCTCGGGAGACTGACTTTGTGGTCCCGCGAGATCTCGGCTAGGTCTGAAATCTCGCGAGATTGCATTCCTGCTGTCGACCATTAAGACTCGTTCTCCTAAATATTAATTGGAATTACCAACAGAGAACATGCCAAGTAATCGAATTCGTAACTTACTGTACCGTTATTGAACAGATTAATTACAATATATTCTTATTTTATAAAAGTTTATTACACCTAAGCTGTTTACAGAATTCGCCCTTGGATGTATGATGCATATCGAGGTAGAAAGGACTAGCTATAGCTCATAAGCAGTGCTGTTAGAATTGCTGCTAGAATACAATAATCGCAAAACACGTAAAGCTCTAAGCTCTAATATCTGGAAACATCAGAAACACGTTCAGGAACGATTGCTTTTTCCAGCCACACTACCGATGCGGCTATTCCAAAACGTCAAAAGCACTGGCCAAAGATCTTAGTGTTGGATTACTAGAACTCGGACATGATTTTCGATTCCCGAGATGGAACGCACGGCGTGAAAGAAGAAAAACCGCCGAGGAATTTTCGTCAGAAAACTATGGCGTAGTTGAGAGTTGATGGGATAAATTACTTATCATTTGGCTTTACTGTCAATACTTTCTGTCACGGACTCATTTTAGATATACGAACAAATTATACCAATACGAAGTATGAACTGTGATAAAAATATTGTAGCAATTTTTCAATCGCTTGATTATTTTTTGTGATGACATTTTTAAAGGTAATGGAGTCAATTCTTTAAATATCCTATCGGTTCTATTTGGAATGTTTCGCCTACAGATTGATCACATTAATACGGCGATACGAGATAGTAGATGGCATGCAATCCAATTATTCATTGCACATAGTTCTCTTTTGATTAGCCGAGTAAATGTCACTAGCATTGCGTATAAGAAATGAAACTCAGTGTGGTTTCGGTTCGAAACTATAGCAGGAACTTTATTGGATGAAAACAGGAAGACAACAACGCTAGTTACATTTCATATTCAGTTTATAAGAAGTAAAATATAGCAAAATGCAAAGTCAGGAATGTTCTCACAAAGATAACACCTAACGCTGTAACTAGAAACCGGATGGACGGCGCTAATAACAAGGGCATCGGGACGGTGTTAGCCGTACCGTTGAAATGATAATCATCAGGATTCCATAACTCCTCCCTCCTCGGAAAGATTGGTCTTCAATCTCAAAAAATGATTTGAACAATTTGAAGGAGAAGTTTCTTAAATATCACTACTTTGAGGTGGAGTTTTAGTATCCTTTACATAACGGTATCTAACAAAAATTGTTATAAATAAAAGCAATAAAATAATTACAGTAGTTAAAATAACAGGATAACTTACAGTAGAATGAAACTGTAAATCTTCAACATGAACTTGAAGTGAGATTTTTTTCGAAATAAGATTCGAGTGAAGTGTTTGTTTTCTTAAATGAATATTTATCGTTGTCACCTCTGAAGGATAATTCTAATTCAATTTCATAATTAGAGTCAAATTCTAATATTTGATCATTAATAAATGTATGACATTCTAAAATTATGTGAGTACTAAAATGAATATGATGGATTCCTTTTGTAATCCTTGATTTTTGTTAAAACATTAGTGTCGATTACATAATTGTTCTTACTTAATTCTAGGATTCGCGTGTAGTTTACTAGACTTTCAGACTCACAAGTGTCTAACTTAAGTGGTTGACATGGCGACTGGAAAGTATTCGTGCATACATACAGCTGATTGCTTAACTCTATAATATTTTTGCAATAATAATACTTTTCAAAGTATAAAATATAATCACTTGGTAATTTTACTAATTCTTTTTGACTGTGATTGAAAATAACTTGAATAAGGAATAAGTTCTAACATCTAAAATGGGAAACTCAACTACAAAAATAAGTTGGTTTTCTAAAAGTATAAGTGATAAAAGGGAAAGATCATAAATCTCAAATAAATGTATTTTGTCGAATGGCAATAATTCTTCGTCTTTATAAATGGATTTTAAATGTTCAATAAGTAAGGTAATCTGATGATGAGATAATTGTAAGGTGTTGAGACCTGTTTGCTGGTTCAATTGTAGAACTAATAAAAGTGAATTTAGATATGAATTAAATCGTTGCAAATTTGTAATAATTGAGATCTGATGGATCGTCTGGTGTGATAACAAAGACTGATGTTCAATAGTTTGGACATTATGAATAATAATTGACTGAATTCTGCTTGTATTATTTTCAAAAGTTTCTTGAAGAGATTTGCAAACGTTTTCTGATGACTTTCAATTAATTTGAGATTTTCAGGAAATAGAATCTTTTTATCTATGACAGGGCAAATATAACTAGGAGTGTAATTTTCTGAATTCGAGTGTTTGACAGGGGGGATAAATACAGAATCTTCATTTGTGTCTATAGGAATGGTGTCGAAAATCTGATTGGGAATTTTGATTGGTTCCTTATGAGTATGACTTAGAATTTCAACGTTTTCGATGGAAAGTAAATTATGGGAAATGTAAAAATTACTGTGGAATTTCTGTAGGTCATAGTAACCTAAAAGACAATCATATTTTTGATGCCATGGGAGTAATAAGAATTCAACTTCTGTTGGAATACCTAGATCATCAAAGATAGGGATCTTACAAGCGTGAGTACCAATTTTGGTTTTAATTGCTGTTTTGATAGAAAAACATTTTGGATAAATATAATCCGGAAATTTGTCGTAAGCAATTTGGGGATTCATAAGAGATGCAGAAGCACCTGTATCTATAAGAATAAGTAAATCCAAAGCTTCATTGTAGAGAAATGGGAGATGAATATTTTCATAAGAGTTTAAATCAATGTCTATTCTGGGGATTGTTGATGAGGAGTTGATTGAAAATTTTTTTGAGAATAATCGTTTTCATAATATTGAAATTGATCTTCTACGAGATTTTCTGGACAACAAGCTTCAGAATAATAAGATTCGAAGGGGTTTGCTACATTTTCTGTAGAGCTTTCATTAGTGGGTTCGGATTCGTTATTAGTAAGTTCTTGAACAGCTATGCTAGGGCGTTGACCATTATTCGAAAAGAAATTGGGTCTTACAAAAGGTCTACGTGACTGGATCGTCGAAGTTGACATAGGCGTAGGATGATTTTGATTATTTTGTCTTGAAGTATTGGTGACAGGGAGCCTCTATTCATAGGAAATTGTGGACGATTTGCAAAATTGTGTTGAGAGGGGTTGAATGCGTTCGAAAATTGACGACTTTGTGGGGAAGTATAGAATGGTTGTCTAAAAGTTGGACGAGAATTGTGAAATGATTGTGGGTTGCTAAATTGTTGTCCATAAGTAATAGCGGGACGAGAAGTAGAGGGATTATGAGAGAAATTAGCAAAATTGGGAAAGTTAGGTCTATATGACTGCATTGGCGGTCTAACAGGTTTATTTGTCTGAGGCTTAGACTTAGTGACGAGAAACTCTTTATATTGTTTGGTTTGCACAAGGTTGTCGTGTTCTTGGCACCGTCTCTCAGCTTCATCTATATTTTTAGGGGGTGGTTGTAATGCAACGCAATGATATTTGGAATTGATTCCGCATAAAAAGGAGGTTAAAGCCATCTGTTCATATCTAGCAATCATCATGAAGTTTGTTACAAATTTCTGAATGTAAAACGCTATAGTCTGGGGAATGAATATCAAAAAGCTGAAGAGTCAAATTTTCTTCAGTTTAAATCTAGTGGTTAAAATAGCAGAAATATGTTCAATAGTGATAGGATTAGTTTGTTCTGTAAATTCGGCAGGTTCACCTTGTAATCTAGACTTAATAAATGTTAAAGCATGTCCTTTATAGGAACTACAGTATATTCAGATAAGAGATAGACCGGACATAAACAAGACCACGTGATCATCGAACGCTGTAACATTCGGCAGGGACGTATTAAGAGTCACGCAGTACATATTTTAGATAGTAGATGCTGCTTTGCGTAACTTTGTAGTAAATTAGCACAATTCGATGTGTATACGATTGGTGATGGATATAGGATCATGTGGGGGTGGGGTAAGAAATATATAATGATGTAAATATACATAAGGGTTTCAAAATTTTCGCTTCGATTTCCAGCTTCGGATGCCGCCTGATGTTTGGTGAAATACAGTCGAATATAATCTCAAAATGGCGTTTAAATTAGCCTAAATTAAAAATAATCGTATATCTCTTAAAATTGCTTTTAGAATATTGATTAGTATATTTTTTGATTTCTAGGTAAATATGTAACCAAATTAAAACGTTCAAAACGTAAAAAAATGTGCATGGTTGAACATTGTCAGAAAGTAGATTCTTGAATAGGTTTTGCCAAAATGGGTTCAAAAATGTCAATAATTAATTAAAAAATACAGTAGCTTTATAATTACTTATAACTTACCGAATTTGATGAACGACATCTTTTATTGGAAAGATGAGCTTGATGAGCTTTCATCATCGCTACTGCCTGAAGCACCAACGTCAATAATGAATGGCTCGACTTGTTCCTCTAAAATATTGTCCAGTTCCCACATTATCTTTTCAACTTTGTCTTCCACGTGCTTAATACAGTTTTCCCATTTTTGCGCTGTTATTAATTCTAGTGCTTCTTTGAAAAGTCCTTTGAGGTCACAAAATTTAAAAGTTGTATTGTGCTTAGCTATATAATTTTTAACCTCTGCCCATATGAGCTCAATGGGATTGAGCTCGCAATGGTATGGAGGTAAACGGAGCACAGTTTTATTTTGACTTGCTGCCATTTCGTCAATGGCGTATTTTTGATATTCCGCCTTGTGATGCTTGACAATTCTTAATAATTGTACTTCCAGCATTGCTGCTTCAAAGTTGATATTTTTCGAGCGGAGCCAATTTTGAACATCAACTTTCCTTGAAGCCGTTGTTGGGACCTTCTCCATTCTTCGAGAATGATAAGGCGCATTATCCAACACAATTACTGCGTTTTCCTCTAAGTTCGGTAAAATTTTTGAAAACCACTGTTCAAACGATTCGCCATTCATTTCCTCGTGGTAATCTCCAGTTTTTTTAGACTCAAAGCACCACAGACCGTCAACAACAAATCCATCCTCACTGCCAATATGGCAGATAATGAGCCTTTTCCCTTTACCTGGAAATCGAAGTACTAACTGGTGTAGATTTATTTCAATAAGCGAACCTTTTTCAAATGTTTTCATCACATTCAGCGAAAAAACATTGAGACATGAGTATCAGATTGCTATAATTGGGATTATTTAGTCATATTGAAAGAAAGAATATTGAACGTCGTATGATTACTCAGCGCTTCACAATTTAATTTAAAGTTATAAACCTTTAAAAAATGAATGATCAGGAACCTGAAATACGCGCAAATATTAATATTAACAAATTATAACTTTATAAAGCTTAAAGTATGAATTAAAATGATTAGAAATATTAGGAACGGTACACAATATAAAACTTAGTAACTTTTTTTAAGTTTATAATATTCGACATATTTTAAGATTATATTAAAAAATTATTGAAATATCGAAAACACATAAAAACATGGCTTAAAAAAGTTCTAACAAATGAAAATGACAATAAAACATCCACGCATTTTATCGAAAGTTATAAAAGTTTTGTTACTTGTAATATGTTTTATCTGCCCCCTGGAATTAATGTTTAGAACCTTGTTCCCAAGGTTTGAAAAACATCCGATTGTTGTCTATTACTCGTATTTACCTGCTGGATTTTTTAATCCGGTGGACAGTCCATCTAGAAAGGCCCTCCTGGATGAAGTTACAGAATCATCAACCCATACTTTACTTGTAGTGTGTCCTGCGTTTACCCACGTTTCATCAAGGTAATAAATCTTCCTGTTTTGATTTCTATATTTCCCAATTTTTGTTAAATAATCCCTCCTCCATAGCACAATTTCTTCTCTATCCAGTAGTAAACTATTACGACCCCGTTTTTTCCATTTGAAATTTAACTGCTTCAGTAACGCATGGAAAGTTGATCGTTTGAAATTTGGCAACGTTGTATCTCCATTTACCTCCTGCAGTAATTTATCTATGGTAGGTATTTCATTCCTAAAGCAGAATTCATGCACTTTCCTCCTAATCGCATGCTTATCAGCTTCATCCAATGATTTAACAATACTTTTGCGATGTTTACTGGTCATTGGCTCAGAAAAGGTGTGATTTTTTGTATTGTCTTAACACATTAAACACTGATGCGCGACACACCCCAACTTTGTGAAAAACCTTCACAACAATTTCTTTGATGGTTGATGCCTCGTTCTCCTCGCGCTCGATCTTATATATATTCAAAATGACCTCTTTCATTTCTGCACTCAGGTGTCTTTTTTTAGAGCGTTTCCTAGGTGGACTACAGGAGTTTACAACTTCATCGGCAGTATCTGTACTACTGGGCATTTTGCGCAAGCAGTTGATAACAATAACAATCAATAACAAGGTATAACAATAACAACGACAAACTCAACAACTTAATAAGATAACAAACGAAAACGTCCAAAGAAATATCAAATTGCAATGATGCACACGACATACGTAACACGTCTGAACCTGAATGTGACTCTGCCTTGATACGACTGCTCTGCCGCTCGGCATAGGCATTTAATTGCGAATTGACCAATGAGGGCTCCTGTTTTACGTCGAGACGGCGGCGTTAGCGTGAAAATCACCCGAACCTTTTGTTTACATCCGGTCTATCTCTTATCTGAATATACTGTAGGTAAAGCGTTATAAAATTCTGTAGACTTTCTTAAAAATTTAGAAAGATTGTTTGAATAGCCATCAAATATAGGAATTGAATCTTTTAGCATGTTAAAAATTAATTGAGCATTGTCATGCTGAACGACATTCTGTTGATTTGAAGTAGCCATTCTTATAGGAGATCTTTCTCTTTCGGTAGGCACAAAACGATTAACAAAAGGCATAAAATAAAATGTATAAAAGATGCAAGATAAAAATGAGTAAAAATAGGTGAAAACAAAACTTAAAGCTATGCACAAAATTAGATTTCAATTGAAAAACGCAAACTTGGATTCTTCAGCAAAAATCTTCTCTGTAGAAATGAGTTTTTTGATAAATTCTTCTTATGGTTACGTATTAAATCTTCTTAGTTGCAAAATCTTCTTAATAGTGATTCTTAACTACTTACAAGGACAGCAACATCAATTGTTGCTTCATGGGCTGGTCATCTTGTCTTCGATTCCAAATCAATGGTTCTGGATAGTTTCTGGTAGAATTCCCAGTAAGAGAATAGAAATTCTTACTTGATATTGGCACTCGGAGAGTTCAAGTAGAACAGGAGGGCCTTCCCGACGTCTGATACTAACTCTTGGCTTTCGCTGGTACTAACTTCAGTTTTCTCAGGAACTCACTCTTTGGCTTTCTCGGAGACACCGCTGGGCAGCTCGTCTATTAGATATTTCTCACAATGGTGACAGAAACCAAGCCTGGGATCCTGTTCGCAGCGCCAGAAATGAAACTCAGTGTGGTTTCGGTTCGAAACTATAGCAGGAACTTTATTGGATGAAAACAGGATGACAACAACGCTAGTTACATTTCATATTCAGTTTATAAGAAGTAAAATATAGCAAAATGCAAAGTCAGGAATGTTCTCACAAAGATAACACCTAACGCTGTAACTAGAAACCGGATGGACGGCGCTAATCACAAGGGCATCGGGACGGTGTTAGCCGTACCGTTGAAATGGTAATCACCAGGATTCCATAACTTATACGTGTCAACAGCTTGGCTTTTAAATCTTCTTGACTTGAAGTTACGTTAGCTTTAGGTCAAATATTGGTAAATCAACGTGTAATGTTACCATAGTCGAATAAAAAATGGCGTCACTTCCCACGCAACGCTTTCATCAGTTCATTCGACATCGGTAATGAATTGAAGGATATTTTCTGGCTTATGAGTAATACTGACTCTGAAGCTTTGCGGGAAAAATATAGAATGAAAAAGAACGAATATCGTCGCAAAATTATTCAGTCGTAGAAGTTGTTCTACCAAAACTTTACAGATAGTAAAAGTAAAAACAGAAAGCATAGTAAATGAGAAGTCTGACAAAATAAATAAAAAATCTAGGTTTGAACTACAGATAGAAAATTGTGTAATTAGAGACAAGGAAATTGTAGCACCCGGTTTTGGTGATTAGTTCTCTACAATTGCACCTAGTGGAATACAACCTCATTTTGCTACTGCACCTAACAACAACACTAACAATAAAATTACTATGCAGGTAAGTTTCTTTTTCTTTCATGGAATTACTAAAGAGGAATACAATGTGCTCTCTCAAAAATAGTAACGCGTTTGCTTCAGATTTTATGTCTGTAAAATTAATAAAATTCATCTCGGCTGAAATTGCAGAACCTATAGTCTTCAAAGAGAATACTGCAGTGAGTGAAGGTACATTACCCGAATTCCAGATAAGAGATAAGCTTGTAGCCGTTTTCAAGAATGGTGACAAGCCTTTAATCAACAATTATAGACCAATAATAGTTCCTACTGTGATTTATAAAGTGGTGTAATAAAATTCAAAATCATTAGTCCCTTCCAGAAGGATTTCTGCAAAGGCAGATCATTGGAAAGTGCGTCATACTCTGTTCTTAATTATATTTGTACATGTCTTGATATAAGGTGGATTGTTGGTGCACTCTTCGTTGACCTGTGCAGAGCGTTCGATACAACAGATTGTAACAGATAAGTTATATGTACTGCGCTTTCGGAAGACTCTCTTAAGCTTCCTTAAATCATATTTAAATCATCGAAAATTTGGCTTGAAGGTCCAAAATTATATCACAGAAGCATATGACATTTGTCTAGGCATCTCGCAAGGCTT